GAGGCCTCTGGCCGAGCTGCACCACCAACCGACCCCGGGGGGCTCTCCCCCCACCCTCACCCTGCAGCCCTGCTCCCCCCACCCTCACCCTGCAGCTGTCCCTGGACGGGACCCACCTCTCCCAGGTCCCCGCTGGCGGCTGCTCTCCAGGAGACAGTCCCCCACTGAGAACGGCCAGGGGCAGAGCAGGGCCCTGGAGCAGACCTGAGACAGGAGACCCCGGGAGGGGCCGTCCAGTGCCCCCGGACGCACACACGCACGCACGGTCTGTCCTTCAGCTACAGGGGAGCAGTGCTGGTGGTGGGTGTGCCGGCCCCAGACACAGAGGGGGCCTGGGAGGCACCGGAATCCCCTCTAACACTGACTGTCCTTGGTCCCCGGGCACGAGGGGGCGGGTACAGAGACCCAGCCTCGGGCCTTCAAACCACAGGACCTTGTCCTCACCACTGGGAGCTGAAGGCCGCGTCCAGGCGCCTCAGGGCCGCCCCCTCCCTCCCTCCCGGAGCTCAGGCGCAGGCGCAGGCTCAGGGCAGGCCCTGGGTTCTGGTGCCGCTGCCACCTTCTCAGGCCACCGCCCCTCTGTCACGCCTTCACCAAGGGCATCTGTAAAGACCCAACTTCCAAGTCAGGGTACACTCCAGGCTCCGGCTGGCCACGATTTTGGGGGGACGTGATCCGACCCAGAATAGCTTGTTTACCGAACGCAACGGTGGGGAGTCCCACGTCTCCAAAAGGGGGCCGTGATGGGGGCTGCTTGGGGGACAGGGCCGCTGGCTGGAACCAGAGGTGCTCTGGGGACCCGTCTGGTGTGACAGGTGGGGCCCAGCCCACGGCACACAATGCAGAGACCGCCGTGGGCAGCACCCCTGAAGCCACAGGTGCCGTGTGTGGTGGCTGCACGCGCATGTGTGTGTGTGTGTGTGTGTGTCCCAGGGGAGGGCTCCAGCCCTGGGCAGACCCTCAGGTCCGCGGGGAGGGAAGCCAAGGCTCCGAGTTACAGACCTGGTTCACCTCCTGCCTCTCCTGCGTGTTTTGTCTTTTTTTTTTAGAACTGCCAGATTTTGCTGTTGTTTTCATCTATTGTTTATTGATGTCAGAGAGGAAGGGAGACGGAGAGAGAGAGAGAAACATCAATGATGAGAGGGAATCATGGATCGGCCGCCTCCCCCGTCCCCCCTACTGGGGACGGAGCCCACGACTCAGGCACGTGCCCTTGGCTGGACTAGAACCCGGGACCCCTCAGTCCGTGGGCTGACGCTCTGTCCACTGAGCCACACAGGCTAGGGCAAGATAATTTTTTAAGACCTTTATTTCCTCACTGTGCCACTGACTTCATGGGAATGAAGCCCGGGGACTGGCTGGAGGCATGGGGCTGCTCTCAGAAGCAG